TTTTCAATTTTAAGCTAATAGCATACAGCTTATATAACTTGTGGACACCAAAACACTTAAACTCTTATCAATATATCCCACATTGCATTTTTTAACTTTACGTTAATGTGGGGTTCCGACATAGGCAAGTCATTAGATGTCATTTAAGCTATATATGTGCTGTAAGTAGGCCAAGAGCCTCAATATTTAGATTTGTATTTCTGCGACTTTCAACCAATATCTATTTTAAGAATTATAAATAAAAGTTGTGGTCATCCTAGGTTGCATAAGGTTAAGAGTAATTGAAAGTTGAATTTTATTATGATGCTATAGGTAGGCATCACGATGTACTTAAATTTTACTTAGCCTTGCCTCTCGAAAGGTATTCTCATCGAGAGTGGACCGCAGTTTCAAATTTTCTTGGATCTCATCAGCACCTGTAAAATGAAAATCAGACTAGGCTAGTGCAGCGTAAATCTTGGTAAGATAAACGCAATGCAACACATGGGCCACATGACCTTAAAGGCAAGCCATTTGGGATTTTATTTTAAAATCATAATTGATTGCGTTAGTTATCTTCATACTTAGCAGGTTCCTATGCATCAGTAGATCTCGAATAAGGGCAGTGGTTATACTGGGTCTCATCAAGTAATGAAGTCTGATATTTAAGCAAATATATGAAGGTCAAGATGGTGTAGCCTTTTGTGTGGTCGCAGTTCGCTTTCGTTGTATAGGAGTTGTTTGACCTTGTTTCCGCAACTTGGTTATATTGGTTAGAAGACTTAGAAGAACGCACCTAGTTCGGAGACCATAGTATGAATGATATTTAAATTTTTCCTTTATGATACGAGTGGACCTCACGATGCCAATTAATTTCCCTTAGCCTTGCCTCTCAAAACGTACTTAACTCTAGATGACCCGCAGTTACGAACTCCTTTTCAAGTCTGACTGATATTATCGAGACCTATAAATCATAAATATAGCTAAGCTATTGACTACTGATTCAAACCCTTTATATATTTTCTCCCTCAACACATTCTAGCAATTAGATCAAGCTTTCTTTTTGCCATTGAATCAAACTGGAATTGCGGAGCATCGTGCACAGTATCTGCATATAATTCAAGCTCTTGAGGATTTGACCCGGAAAATATTCATTGAGTTCCAGAATACAATTGATCCGGTAAGAGGACTAGAATTTTTTTCAGATAAGGCTGATAATTATCATAAATGTCATGAGATATGACTCTAGACAGGGTGCATTCAACTAGATTTCACTTAAAAGACGACTGAGTTGCAAGCCCTTTCTGGGATAAATGTAATGGATGGATACTTTTTATTTGTAAATGCCCAGAAAAGAAGGCCCTGGATTGAAGATTACAGTCAGAGACAAAAATTTATTAATGTCATCCCTTTATTTTTGTTTTCACCTTTTTAATAACT